ACCGATATCTCTTATCGCGTCACTTGCACCAAGTCGTTCGCAATATTAATTAAAGGCCATACTGATGCGCAGAACGATGAATTTTAACCGAATCGGGTATATGGATGCAGCTTGATTTGATCAAAATCTCTTCGCATTCAACAACATTCGATCGTATAGTACAACAATCTACCTCTGCTACTTAAATGCAACGCTATTTAATTGTTGTATTGTTCATTCGTTTATAATAACCGTGCAGTAGCCCGAATTAAACGCCTCGTCTGCGATATATATAACGAGCGGCGATCGCCGCTATCACACTCGGCGATCTACCATTTACTTTCTTTATACATATATACATATGTGTCTCAAGGGCAGATACAGGTGCAAATGCAGCACACAATGCTTCCCTCGAAAATCTCTCTCTCTTCCGCGGCGTCTCTATTAAATCACGCAAATCTCTCACTTTCATCAGCCGGTTCTCTTTAAATATATGATGCTAACTGCAACATCTATATATATATATATATATTGCAAAAAAAGTCCGATATTTAAAAAAAAGCTGCTTATGTAAAATGATTGATTCAATTATACATGTATAATTTCCAACATTACATATTTATGACATACATATATTAATGATGTGTGCGTCAGACGTGATAAAATAAAAGGGCGATCTCACACATAAATCGCCGATGGAACGCGTAAAAATATCGATACGCGATGGCGCTTAACGTATAAATCGAAAGAACCCGATAACCCGACACGATTTTCTTTTTCACAAAGCGGGGGCCCCGTAGTAATACAATATCTCGGATAACTTTCTCACGGTACACCATCACATCGCTTCCCTCACGGTCCTCTCCGCGATCTCTCGGTTTCTTCTCCGCCGCGTTTAATTTCTCCAAATCACGGACGCGCGTCTTGCGAACGCCTTCGATTTCTCGTCGATGATGAAAAGTATCGGAAAGCTGAATCTCTCTCGTATATTCGCTTTCCATATTTTCTCTCTCTCTCTCTCTCTCTGTCTCGAACGATTATCGCCATCGACAAAGCGACGAGAGAACAAACGATTCCCTTTTTTCTCTTCTCCTTTTCCCGTTCCCTGCTATCTCGATCTCCGGCGAATATACCTATATGCGGCGAACGGATTTTCATTCCGCAAAAGTGCGCGAGAATCCGGCGAAATGGAAATCATCAACCGCGGTGATGTTTCGCGTCGTTATCGCGATCGCGCGTTCTGCAAGAGAGTCAGTCACTTTCTTCCTGCGGATACGTCTCGCGTGAAATACGCTCGTTGTTTATGCGCCGGAAAGGCTAACAAACCGGCCGGGCCGCGTGTGAATTAAAAATCTGCTGGTCGGTTACGTTAAGCGCAAGATTTTACGATTCGCCTTCGTTCAATAATCTCGTGCGTGATTCGATCTGCAAAAAGTTTGAACTCTTGTAAATCTGATGTAATTCAAACTCTCTATTCTTTCTCTCTTTATTTTTAATGAGTCTGGTATATATATTTCCATATATATTTTCTGTGAATAGAGAAAAATATATATTTTTTATTTATATATTCTGTTCTTCATAGTAAAATATTATATAATATTATTGTATGAAAATTTAATTGTGTAATATTTTCTTGCAAAAGCTACGAAATTAAAAAAAAAAGGTATCTTAAAATATAAGGTTTATCTCTCTTATCGATACAATGAGATGACCTACTATTAAGCAACATATAGCTATATATTTCTGGAAAAAAACACGGTACATGTATACATTTCTCGACCTTAGGATCAGAATATAACTATGCAGATGATGTTGTTCGACATTAATATATGTGTATAATTCGGCAAATGTATTTTATTGCGTGTCCATTATATGATATATCAAAAATACGCCATGATACGTTATCAAAACGAGACTAATAATTTTTCGAATAGAGATAATTCTGTTTTACTATGTTATTTAACTTTTTATTTTTAATTGTTGCTTTATCGTAAATTCAATATTTAAATATTGCCGATTAATTTTAACTGAAAATATATATATTTTTTTTTTTACTAAATATAATATAAAGTTTTAAAATTTATCATATTTAAAGAATTAAAAGAAGTATTATGTCGAGTCAATATATGCATACACAAAACGTTTGGGACTAGTTTTATTATAATATTAATTAATTCTCAAATATTTTATTATTATATATTATTATTAATTTTAATCGCACAATCAAGATATATAATTCTATCAAATTAATTAAAATAATATAATTATGAATTAGATGGAAATATCTTACGAAAGCAACCGTCTTGATATACAGTTATAAAAATACAAATAATAAAACATGTTCTTTAGTGCGATTCGAAATGAGCGTTTACTCCAACATTTAAATCGAAAAATTGAAGTAGAAGGGGAAAATATGCGTTTCATAGAAAACAAGCAGAGAGACTGTCGAGTTTATTAATGTCGCACTAATTTTGGTCGGTTAGGGAGCGCGGTTAAATTGTTGATGGCGAAATGCGTCGTGAGAACTAGGTGGACCTTAAACCGTATTCCGCGTGTCATTTAAGAGCAAGTTCTCTTTCTTTCGAAACGGGTTTTCTCGGAACGTGTTAGAAACGTGACCGTGTCTGCAATGCGAAAAGAGGAAAAGAACATGCCCGTGTGTGTCGCAAGAATGTAATTATCGTTTTGTTTGCGCATAAATTATAATTATATATTATTGTACTTTCGGACGCGTGTTACATTAGTAAAACCCACAACAGCCCACAATTTCCGTCAAGCCATTGAACCTTGGTAGTTTACATAATTTTTAATGAAATTTTATGTTTTTAACATCGTAATATATAATTTTTAAGCAGAGAGAAGTGTTAATACATCTGCAACTTTTAAATTTGAATTAATCTTAATTTGAATATTGATTTATCAGGGTTTATAATGATAATAACTATGACATTCATTTAACTGTAATAGTTATAAAAGTTGAAATAATAGAAAAGTAATTGCATAGAATAATAATAATAATAATAATCGTAACTCTTGTTTGCGTATTTTTAAATGTAAACACGTCCACGATATATAGAATCTGCGAATTAAAAATCCGAGTTTTTCGTGTTTAATGTGCGTTTGTTTCACGACCTCTTGGCAATTGACCCGAAAAGCTGCATTTCCCGCTTCTATTTTACTGTTCTTCCCTCCCTCTTCCTCCCTCCCTCCTCTCCTCTCTCTCTCTCTCTCTCTTTCTGTCCCTCTCTGATTTCGTATCAGCTGCCTTTTACAATGCCGCGGAAACACGAGCATGGCTTTCGCGCGTGTCGTGCTAGATTTCCAACGTCCTTTTCTCTGTGACGAAAATTGCGCGCACAATTCGTCGGACGCACATTTAATTCGCGAAACTGTATGATGTATCGGCGAAATAGGGAGAGAAGAGAGAAAAAAAGATAATGAAAATTGAGTCGAAGAAATCGTTTGATGCTTATCTTGGCGCGATTGCATTACGATTTTTCGTCTCGCCGACCAACTCGCGGGAAAACACGGCGATAAATAATGGTAGACAAAGTTGTTGCGCGACTCCTCTCTTAACGTTTTTATTTCTGTCCAAATAAATAATGCCCGAATAATCTCGCTCTACGTGCGACTTTCACGCGGTTGTTGTTTAAAAAATTCAGTATCACAATCGCGCGATGGGATCTCTCGCGATCGCCGACTCGCGTGGCTCGCAATTATTTCTAACGATGCACAGGCAACGAGAGAGTATATATCTATTTGAGTATTATTATTATCTCGCACACGTTTCTGCAAATAATACATTTGTGCAATTAATAATGCATCTTACCCGAGGCGCGGCTCGCATCCGTCAAGTGCATTCGCAGTTGTTGCTGCTGCTGCGGCCGCAAATTGCAACCGCGATTGCACGGAGAAACCGCGTTCGAACTGCATTTGACATGAAAATAGAGGTCTCGATCAAGTCGGTGAACGAGGGAAAAAGTTACAAACTCGTCGGAGCATAAAACATAACTTTTTCGCCTTTTATCTCTTTGGACAAGTTAAGTTTTAAAAATTAATTTAGTCTTAGATTATTTACGCTCGCGCTTGTATGAATAGTTAGGAAAATTTTAAAGTGATTTTGGTTTTCGAAAAACCTGTTTTTTTGAAATCGAAATAATTTTGCATTTTAAAAATATTGGCTGGCATTTGCGACGAAAGAATTAATATTTTTAAAAATTGAAATATTATATATACTCTCTCTCTCTCTCTCTCTCTCTCTCTCTTTCTATCTTTTTCTTTCTAATATATCTAACAATAAAACAACGAAACGTTTCAATAATATGTAAATTCGATATAAAAACTAATGTTACCGAGTAAAAGTACTGATACTTAAAGGATTAACAGACATTGAATTACGCAATTGCCGTAATTATTGATTGCAACACGTAAAAGGTTCTGCCTTGTTTAGTTCGTTTCCTTGGAGTTATCGACTCTACTTTCTCTCGACTGCGTAAAAAATTATTGTATTCCGCAATATCCGTTAGTTATGACATGTACAGGCGCGTTACTTACCTCTGCTGAGAACATAAATCGACAACTAAATGTGTGCTTATTGATAGATAGATGTGACCACATTTATAGAATACGATAATAGATTATCTGACTATTTAGATGCATAGAATTTATCTATACATATTTACGTTATAACTGAGATATTAGACTATTTTACATTCTCTTTATCTATATATTAAATTAACGTTATCATCAATTCGTCTTGTTACATTATTTAAAATTTATTAATTATATAAATTTTTCCATAAATCGAAATTTTGTATTTTTTATAGGCAGTACGTTGTTTTTTTTTTATACATGCTTTAAGGGCTTTATATTTTAAAATTTTATTTTTACTTATGAATATAATAATATAAGAGATACTACACTATGTAATTGTATCTTTATATTTAAAATGATCATCAGTTTTTAAAAAACAATTAAATTTCCGATTCGTAAGAGATAAAGATATATAATCGCGAAAACAAAGTTTAATTAAAACGAGCTTATTGTTTTAAAAGCAAAGCTATATGGAGTGTTATTGATGTCATAACGAGGTCGAAGCATTATTTTGATTTCTCTTTGTATCACGTAGCGTGATGTTATAACAAACGTGAACGCGTATGGTGTGGTGTTTAACGATTGCGCGAGAAGAATCACGGCGGTGATTGAGCAAATATCGTGGGCGATTTACGTGGGCTGATTCCTTGATACGAAATGTCTATTTGCCGGTATGAAATTGGCGAAGAATGAAGAAATTCAAATTTGACTTTTTCTCACGCTCGCTCTCTCGTTGCCAAATCGAAGACGCTGCCACCCACGAAATTAGTCGGCATTTAATCACAACAATGGAAAAAAAATTGAGCGACTTATTTAAGCAACCGCAGCAACTCTTTAATTGATTATGCGCATTGGAAAAACGAGTTTTAAAGTTAATTAGCGGCATTTTAAATTTCACCGTCAATAGCTTATACGAAGGAGAAGGAAACGGAAAGAGAGAGAGAGGAGGAGGAGAAAAACAGTTATTTATAGAATTTTTGAGGTCAGTGGGAAGTGCGCGATTTCTTTGAGATCGACAATTTGACTTATGAAGATAAAAGACGAAGATGACGCGGCGCGAGATAGAGAGAGAGAAGGAGATTATTACGTGGGAAGCGATCGGGATTGCGCGGATCCTTGTAGGTCGAGGAAACGAGGACGAGGTGCTGGATTAGCTTGGCCCGTGCGAAGTTTTGTGAAAAGGTGCGCGTTAATTGTGAAAAACAGGTAGCCCGGTTGGCGTTGATATTTATATTGCGAGTTAGATTAGCCGTCGTTTGATTGATTTTTTGGGCTCTTCTCGAATCAACCTCGCGTAGCATTTTAGCATTCAGGGAAAAATCTCATTGACGCTCAAATCTAGGAAAGCCTAATCGGGATGAAGAATAAATTTACGTTACATAAATTCACGCCAATCCGGGAGCAGGCCACATTTTTACATTCCTTCGAAGACACACGTGAAAAATTGAATTTTACGCGCGTATTCTCGAGTGGAGAGTTAATCGAAATTACGAATGAAATCTTAAGAGCTACGAATTCGGCATAAATCGATGGGAATTAGAAAACTGGCGTGACGTCACATTCTTTTCGAGACGCATGTAGAAAGTATTATTGACTATATATATTTGCAATTTTAATGGCCAGCATCTATATTCAAGTATCAATAACATTTTCTATATATGTATATAGTGTTGCAATGTATAGCAGTATATTATAAAATTAATCAAATTAGATATGAGTAATTAATCGTATGAAAGCCTTTATCGATGTTAAAACGAGATTTTAATCGAAAAAAAATGTGAACTCATATATACTTAAAGTGCGTCTACACCTTTATGATAATTAGAAAACGGGTTAGACGTCATTCTAATACTTACTCGTAGAAAATTTAATCGCCACGCGCTATTGGAAAATTAATCGAGAATAATTATAAATTGATATAAAAACGTGAAAATGTCAAATTTAACATAAAATATTGCGGTAATTAGAAAATTTCGTAATGTTTTATTAAATATAACAATATAAAATATAATTGACTGGAAAATTAATTCTATTACTACATGCGATTTAATTCTATAGAAAGTTTCAATGGCATTTGATTGAAAACTAATTATTGCGAAAAAAAAGTAAGAGATACCGACTCGATATGAATTTATTGGCGATTGTCGTCACTCCATTTTGACGATACGGGTGTTTCCAGCCGAAAGCTTCGTATGAATCACAGAGGACAAATCTACCACGTGCACGTATAATTACGTGAAGAGAGCCCATTGCGATATCCAATTACACGTTCCGTCATCATGGTGGTGTCGCATCGCGAGCCTAGCATATCGTCAAACATACGGGCGATAATCGAGCAGCTGAACTTGAACCCGGTGGAGAGGAGGCGGCTGATCGACAAGACCAGGCAGGAAAACAATACGCGATGCAAGAGCTTCCCAGATGGTATAGTGACGGTGGAGTCGCAAACGCCGAAGATCAGCATCGGCGTTTACGGCTGTAAAGATCGAAGTACCGAATTCAGAGTGCCAGATCGTCCGATTACAATGCGCAAGATCGAGATGGAGCGATCGAGATCGAAGGTGGATACGCGACAGAGGCTCCCGACGCAGAAAAAGGAAGCGCCTCCTGTATGCCAGGTGAAAATAGAAGCGCCTTCCACACAAATGGAGAGAGAAGTGAGGATGGAACGCGTAATCACGAACGAGGTAAATCGATGATAATGTTCATCGCGATCAAAGCTCGCTGTACTCTTGTAGAGAGATAATTAATTTATTGCTAATCGTAACTTATTTTGAATTTAATATTCACATGATTGTGTGTAATTTATTCGTTTCTTTATTTACAACTTTTTTATAATTGAGAAATATTAATTAAATATTTATTAATAAAAAAAAATACCGTATATACGTGAAATTTTGCATTAATTACATCATACACGCACAATTAAATTTATATTAGCTTAACATTGTGTCATACAAATTATTAATTCAACAAGTTGAGATTGTAACATAAAATAGAAACGTTTAAGATATTTTTTAAAATATTTCGGGATTTTATTAAATGCATTCTTTTAACCAAATCGAACGGGAACGAAGACACATGATCAATCGATCGTGTACACATATGAAAACGCGGATAATGTTTAATCTGAGATATATAAAAACTCAAGGGCAAGTTGGAGTGTCGGTCGATAGTGACTATCGGATCCTTTAAAAAGGATACGACCCTTACCAAGGATGATAGCCGAACGAGATCGACGACGATGCCAGTATTGACGAAGATCCTTCCGACAGGTCAACGGATCATCAAGAGAGAGCATATCACTCGAATCGACTCCTGCACGATCGAGGTAATCGATCGAATGATAAATAGCGAGATCTCTATCGCGAGAATCGCGATAAGCACGTATTTTTTTCATGCGGCATAATTATTACGCACAATCAATATAACAATTATATAATCGATCTGTGTGTACGATCTATCTGCCCAAGGACAAGATCGCGGACGCATCAGGAGTGTCGATCAGACCATTGTACAAAATTGAAGATTGTGTCAGATCGAAGAAGCCAGATACGGCGACGAACGCCAGAATTCCTCGAGCTACGAAGGAACACATGATTTCAAAGGAACAGACTCGCGCCGAGGACATGGTCGAGGTAATCGATCCATCAATATCAGCGCGAGCGCGATCCCCATAATTTTCTGAATGTCAAATATTATATATATATGTTACAATTATAAAAAAAAATTAATTGATAATTACATGTTTGTCAGATTAATTTCTATTTTACATTTTCAAGAAATAAGATAATGTGAGATTTTTCAAAAGATTTTTCATAAAGAATTAAAAAGTAAGCTTTTTTTATAATTTAATTATTAATTGTTGTTTGTGATGGTTATTTATATAATATAATATTAAAAATAATTAAAATTATATATAAAATAAGATTTATATACTTGTATAATATAGAAGATTATTATAATTTTTCTCTTATTCTGTATATTGTGTAATATTCTGAGATATTATACAAGACTTGGTATTCAGCATACAAATGACTTTAACGGGTCGAGAATTAGCGTCCACGTTCGTGTCTCATTACCGGTCTCGCGCTACGCCCGCGTGACGATCGAATTGCGTGAATCGCGCGATCGCCCGTGCAATTACGTGCCGGTTAAGAGAGGACGGACGAACCAAATCGAACGGGAACGAAGACACATGATCAATCGATCGTGTACACATATGAAAACGCGGATAATGTTTAATCTGAGATATATAAAAACTCAAGGGCAAGTTGGAGTGTCGGTCGATAGTGACTATCGGATCCTTTAAAAAGGATACGACCCTTACCAAGGATGATAGCCGAACGAGATCGACGACGATGCCAGTATTGACGAAGATCCTTCCGACAGGTCAACGGATCATCAAGAGAGAGCATATCACTCGAATCGACTCCTGCACGATCGAGGTAATCGATCGAATGATAAATAGCGAGATCTCTATCGCGAGAATCGCGATAAGCACGTATTTTTTTCATGCGGCATAATTATTACGCACAATCAATATAACAATTATATAATCGATCTGTGTGTACGATCTATCTGCCCAAGGACAAGATCGCGGACGCATCAGGAGTTTCGATCAGACCATTGTACAAAATTGAAGATTGTGTCAGATCGAAGAAGCCAGATACGGCGACGAACGCCAGAATTCCTCGAGCTACGAAGGAACACATGATTTCAAAGGAACAGACTCGCGCCGAGGACATGGTCGAGGTAATCGATCCATCAATATCAGCGCGAGCGCGATCCCCATAATTTTCTGAATGTCAAATATTATATATATATGTTACAATTATAAAAAAAAATTAATTGATAATTACATGTTTGTCAGATTAATTTCTATTTTACATTTTCAAGAAATAAGATAATGTGAGATTTTTCAAAAGATTTTTCATAAAGAATTAAAAAGTAAGCTTTTTTTATAATTTAATTATTAATTGTTGTTTGTGATGGTTATTTATATAATATAATATTAAAAATAATTAAAATTATATATAAAATAAGATTTATATACATACTTTTTCCCCTCGCGCAATAGTTCTCGCGTTCGGGGCCGAAAGCAAGCGGCGACGCACCTGCGACCGGTTTCCGAAGCCGATCGCGGTTAAGTGGCCGCGGCTCGACTCTCGCACGGTGGTCAATACCGTTAGGGAACGACCGGGTGACGTGCCTCGCTCTTTCTCTCTACCCGGCCGTCGAGAATAACGCCGGTAACGGCGTCTGGAATTACGTTACACCGCATCGCGCGCTAAGTCTCTATTTCATCGCGTATGAGATAGATCGATCAATAAATCGAATAAATAAAAAATGATGAAGTTTCTACGGGTGAGAGAAAGAGAGAGAGAGAGAGAGAGAGAGTTGGAAGGAACGTGTCTCTCGATATCTCTTTGAAAAATCATCAAAGTAATCAGTATATATATCGATAAAAAATTAACTAGACTAAAGCAAGTTCAAGTAGATACTTCTCGATATTAGTGGAATATGATTTGACAAAACAAGTGGCGTGTGTGTGTGCAAATTAAAATCAAAATTTTTGAGATAATAGAGATGAGTACACATATGCTGATGAGTATACATATTAGCATAGGCACATTATCCTCAAATAAAAGTCTAGATACTGTTGGATTTTTAGCTCGAATAAAATATCAAATTTTATTTTTTATATTCATTAATCGTGTTTGTTATATTAATTGTTTAAATTATGCATTGGTCGTTAAACATACATATACGTATTGTTCTATAAGAATTTAAAAAGATTAAGATTCGTTGGCATTGCATGATACATAATAAACGCAATCAGACCGATTAGATAATAAAAGCGATTTTTTTACGCAGATTACGAGATCAACGAAAGATACGGTCGATCGAACTGTTCTGGTGGCCAAGGAAGATTTACGTAAGTTTCATAGAACGTTATTTGCACGGTATCATTGCTTCACAACACTTCAAATTACACAACCATTCGCGATTTACAATTTTGTATGTTTAGTTATTTCATTATAATTCAAGTTTGCAAAAAAAAAAAAAGAATTAATATTTCTAAATATATTTCTCTTACAAAAATGATATCCAGGATTGAAATCCATTTCCTAATGTTCAATTGTTCTAAAAGTTACGAAATAATTTGTTTTTTACTAATCTTTACTTTGCATATTATTTATAATTTGTTATTGATATATTATTACTAATCTGAGCGAATGCAATTTTCTTCTTTGCTTCTAACAGCACAATTGGAAAGCGCGAGCTTGAATCATACGGCGGCACATCATAGGATTTCCGTGCGTCCAAAGAACCGACGTCCGCCACGTCGTACAGTATCAACGACGACACCATCCGATGTCGGCCTTTCCAACTCGCCGTCGATACCACCGACCATTGTCGAGGATACTCTAGACAGTTTGGAACAACAAAAACGGGAGCAACAAAAACAGGAACAACAACTATCTCAACCGACGATTAGCAATAGTAGTTTGTCACCGACCGAACCACCATCCAAAACTGTTGGCGTGATCAGAAAGTCGTCGAGCCGATTGTCCCGCAATTCTGACATCTTCGAGGAGTTAGAGTCGAGGCTGCCGAGGAAGACGAGTGCGACCTCGTTGTCGCCAGACAGCCTAGACGTCACGACGGTTTCACAGAGCAGCGCGGAAATGGCCACCGCCGCCACCGAGGAACAGCAGCAGCCAGAGATCAAATGGATCACTAGGAAACCATCAAACCGAATATCTAAGGGCTCCGATGTATTCGAGGAGCTGGAGGCAAAACTGCCGCGCAGGAGATCTTCGTCGAATCGGTTATCCAAATCGCCAGACAGCTTGGACTCAGCTCCCGGTTGTTGGTTCTCCAAATCCACCGATGAGGCCTTCGACAAACTCGTGGAGTATGACGAAATTGCGAAGCCGGTAGCCTCGGTCAGGCGACCGTTGCTAAATCCGATCTCAAAATCCACCGATCGCGTCTCCAAGTCGTCAGACAGTCTAGAGGCAATCGAACCGTTGGTAAGCGACGATTCGATCGAGCGACGACGGAACAGTTTTGATTTTCGAGCGCGCAAGAGCTCGAAGGTAATCTCTAAATCGTCGGAGAACTTTGACATGCTCGAGCAAAGCGGCTGCGTTGAAGCAGAGATCGGCCAGGAACTGCAAAAGAGGAGTAGCGTGTCCGATATTAATCTGTCGCGCAGTCGAAGACTGTCGAAGAGCATTTCCAAATCGTCCGAGAGCTTCGAGAGGATCGACATGAGCGACATGAAGGATGACGTCGACGTAGAAGTGCTGCTGGAGGATGATGCACCGAAAGCGGGTGGCAGACGGACCAAGAGGATGTCCTCAGAGAGCTCAGACAATCTAGATGGGGAGGATAGGCTGGAGAATAGGAGAGTCAGAAGAACGCCCAAGACCAGCATAGTGGACATGATAGTTTCTGGAGACGATCACGAGAGAGAGAGGCGACCAACACCTTCTAGAAAACCGTCAAGGCTTCAAAAGTCTTCCGAGAGCTCGGAATTGGGTAGTACGGATACTCTGGACTCAGAAAGGAGAAATAAGTCGTCGGAGAGTACCGAGACGCTGGACAGTCTCGAGAAGGACTTGGAACAGGATAGAAAAGACGAGGAGATAACGGATAGCGTGGTGGACAAGCGTGAAAAAAATGTAAGATATGTAAATATAATATAAACTATAAAAATATGTATTGTATTCTATCTGAGAAGAAATTACGTCATTTTTTATCAGACTTTACAGGATACTAAAATGGAAATTTATGTAAATCGAGAGATGCTAATTTATCTTATAGAAAGAGTTATATACATATATTAATTGACTAGATTATATATATATAACTTTTGTATATATTATTCTTCTTTCCTAATAGTGTTTCTTAAATAACAAAAAAATATATTTGATAATCTCTTTCAGGATTCTTGGTCTAGCAGAAACGTGGCAGTGACCGATTCCGATCAAGCATCGATGGGAGATGACACTGAGGATTCCAAGTCGCTTATTTCTGCCGATAACAAATACTATTGGCGCCAATCCTCCGAGCCGGTATCCAAGGAAAACTTGGGTATTCAACAGTTATTAGCTATTACGATAATGACCAGGATGGCCGATAACGGTAACAATCAACGCGGTTCCGTCATGTATCCGAAGAAAAGGCAACAAATGAGTACATCACAACCATCGTCACCCGTAGCAAAGCAGGAGGACACGAAGATGCTGTTCGATAATTTGTTAGTGAGCAGCAAAAACGATGAGGATCTGCAGAACATGCTCAACGGAAACATATCGGAAGTGTCAACTGATACCAAAAGTTTTAAGGAAAAGCTGATCATGTTCGAGAAACTCGGGAAATGAACGCGCGATGATAGAACGATGTGAAATCGTTCTCGCAATTCCTTTTTCGATTAGCGGACCACTTTGAAGGTGGTCAAAATTTAATGCAAAGACACGGGAAACCTGAGAAGAGATAAACGATCTCGTTTAGTGCTTGGTAAATATATACATATTGTTGTAGAGTACATCCTAGTGGAATGCATCCTAGTGCGACTATTTGGATCACAAAGAAGTTGATACAAAAGGAAATCAAAAATTCGATTGCGGATAATTATTTTTCGCAGAGAAGTTTGATTATATTCGCAGAGCTATGGAATTGAAATAAAAAAATAATGAAAGATAGGTTCGCTCGATGAGCGTAATTACATGTATAAAAATAATAAATTAAAATATTCTAAATACTGATTTATAGAGAAGATAAATTTTTGAAGTATCAATGAATACTTGATATTTAAATTATATCTAAATAATTTGCATGTTTTATACGTTAATTTGTGTAACTATAAACGTAATGTAACATCGTGGAATCTGTAACTCTTCAAAAATCAAAATAGCGTTCAGTTCAAGTCAATAATATCCGGCTCTGCTTCGTCGTCGATGCATTTGGGGAACAAAAATATCAGCCCGGCGGCAATTTTCTCAATTCTCGAACGTGTTTTTCTAAAACGTTAATTAAAAGTTAATACTTTATTGAGATTATATTTGATCGTGCATCAATGCTCATCACAGAGGAACGTATTCGCGAATGCATGTACATTCTCGTAAAAAGCTTTAGCGTTTACTCGCAGATAATTGTACAATAGTTTAGCAGATGATTCTCGGTATGCGACGCATTTATAAATATCGTGTATTATCTCATATCGTGTAAATATGAAAAAAATATATGTGTTATCATTTTAATTATCTTGAAGATAAAAAAATATATATAAATGTATCACACTATATATATAGTATATAGGATGTATCATATTTCACGCCCAAGAATTAGCGCTATTCCTGAATGAGAAATAAATTGAAAAGTCCTGAATTATTTTTTTTTCTGCGATGCTTAACGAAAGAGAAATTATTAAATAAAAGTCACTAAATCATTACCAAACAATTTCAACAATCATAAAAAATCAGCGACATTTTTTAAGCGGACATATGTTTGTGAGGCGTGCATCGAGTAGTGTACATGGCTACATTCAATCCGGCACATGGTTTACGAAGTATACCCGTTCAAAAAACGGTGTTGATTAGATGATTTTGTTTAATAACTCGTCCATTAAGCATTGCAAAAAAAAAAAAAAGAAAAAAAAGAAGAATTGTTCGACTCATTTTTCATTAAGAAATAACGCTTCGTGAGCTTTAATTATGATGCACTCCGTATATTAACGTTGATAATTGTAGTAAAGCCGCGGGGTATAACGATAGTCTAAGAAATGTTACGTGTGTGCAATTGTATTTTTTCGATGCTGGAAAACTGATGTTTATTCTATATAAAAGTATATTACTCTCTTATACAAATTGCCTACGGGTTGTCTATAAAACGTATAATTACGTTAAAATAGGCCTACAATTCTTTTGGCCGATGAAATGTCACTAGGTGATATTAAGAGTGATGGTCTCAATTTAATTTTAAATGCCTCTAAAAGATTGTTGAAAGGAGAAATAATGTATAAAGAGAAGAAATTGTGCGATATTTTGTCAATAGTTGAAGCACGTGATTACCCCGAACCTCTCGTTTTTTTCCGATGATCCAGAAAAGCGTTGTATAGTGCATATCATCTTATAATCGCCGAATTTCACAAGAAAAAAATGATTTTTGTAGCCTTTCAAGTGCCTTACCGAACTTATCGAAGAAACTAAATCAAAGTATCGTCGATGATAGAGAACGCAGAAATGTTATACCGTCATACTTCTTTTACCCTTCTTTAATTATTTAGATGATAAATGTGCGTTTTTTCGGATCCCGAAAGACCTCGTTTCATAGAGTAACGAGAAAAAAAAAAACTGGATTTAACTATCAAGTCTCATTGTAATATTATGTAATAATGTACAAGGAATAACAAGAGGAATTCTACACGCAGACATACATATGCATATACACGCATTTACACAGAACAAATCTCTTTTCATTGATGTAAATAAAGCTGCCATCACAAATTACAGTTACAACAGAACCTTTTTCTCTCTTTATTATATAATATACCCCATAGTATCGCGCATAGTTAAAAAATTACAAATATCCGACTTAAATGCTGAACATAGTCTGTACGCATATGTGACTAATCGAATCCCGGAAACGGTACATAATTATTTTTTCTGTTATCGTTTCGAGATATACGTACAAGTTTGGTATAAAGTATATGTTTCGTCGGACCTGGCATTTAGCCGTGATCTCAATTTTATTTTTAGATCACATAGAAACTTCTTTGTGTACAAAAAGAGGAATGTAACAGTCATTTTTAATACAACAGCTTTGCGCATAGTAATGATTTCATTATCGGTGCCACGGAGATAAGGTTTGAGAATAAATTACCTTGCAGTTATCACTAACCAACACTCTTCGTTCAATACTGAGTCAACGGACTCTTCGGATGCAAGGATGGATAATTGATCGCGATCGTAACGTTGTAGTTCGTATACACAGCGGCACATTTAAACGGGGAGAGAAATACTCTAATTACAATATTTCTTTTTCTATAAAAAAAAAATTATTTAAGTATTACCGTTTAAATCCGTCATGTATTGTATTAGATTTACCAAAAAATTCTTTTCGTCTTTTTTCTTTTTTTTATTAACATATTTTTGATTAATGTGTGTGTAAATTAACGTAATCCAAAGATAAGATATATAACAAATTTTGTTATATATGTATATACACATATATCGGGTTTATTTTTATACATCATATATTGATTTTGACTGGTTCATAATTTGTAATAATGTATGTGAGAGTGATATAAAAAAAGGCGATTGATTTTTTGATCAACCCAATACATGACTGGACTCTATGAGTTGACAATATGTTTTGTCTTTAATATTACAATTTTATCTGGTTGAGTTTATACAAAGTACTGATACTAAAATACTATACACAATAGAATCTTTTGTAAACTTTTTCTCGTCACCCAGATGCTTACAGTAATATTCACTATGTTATAGAAAAAAAATGTGTGGTGTACTATATCCCAATTCAGGACGAATAAAAAATATCTATTAAAATAAAGAAGAAAGTAAAAAAATGTCTAGTTACATTACTAATTACGACTGTAGTGTGGAAATATTTTCAAAACGATTCGTCCAACGTTGCTTTCTCGATCCTTGTAACACGTCTCGCAATCCGCGAAGAGCGTAAGTGCTTGACGATTCACATTGTACGTGCGACTGACCACGTGCGCGCGCTTTTATTGTTTTACTAACGGAGCAATAATTTCACAGTTCGTCATGCTTGTCCGCGGAGTCTGCCGAACTAGGATTGCAGAGTGCCGGCGTGGAGAATTCCATCGCGTACTCGCAACGACTCGGTTCCGTCACCGAGATGAGCTTGTTCTCTGTTCCGCACAACATGGTGACAATAGTGGAACGCGCCGGACCGTTCCAGCAAGTGAGACCTTGATCGTACTTCATCTTGGTGTACTTGTTATCGCCCGTTCCTACCCAGTCATACCAATGACCCAAATTGACGTCATTACCGCCGGATTTGGACCTCTGTGTCGTTTTACCGAATAAACACAGTTTGTAGATGTATTCTAGGTCAGTGTATTCGAAGCACTCGCCATCGAGCGCCGCGAATTCTTCTTCTGGCCCGTAATCGCGATCCAGTTTTTCCTCCAGCTGTCTAATTTCTGACTGCAACTCGTTGACGGCTTTCACGGTTTCCTGAAAACGTTCGCGAGCGCTATTGGCCTCATCAATGAGTGCTTGCGTTTCTTCGTCATATTGGACTTCTGGTTCCTGTGGTTCAGTCTCCTGTTCCTCTTCAGGGGTAGTTTCCTCTTCTTCTGTGTCTGTAGTTTCTTCCTCTTCGTCTTCTTCCTCTCTTTCATGATGTGAATCATCCAAAGGCTGTTGTTGTTCATCGGCTTCTTTTTTATTCTCTGCCGCTTTAAACATACCTGTAATTACATAATGAGATTGCATAACATTGCAAAAAGGTTATAGATTATAAAAAAAAAGCAAACTTTAATCTTATCTACCTTGCTCCAACATTAAGAAAGGTTTTATATTTGCCCACGCAGTATCTACAAATTCTTGCGGAGTGACTTCCTTCTTATCATTGAGGAAATATAGTGCTTCTTCTTCCGACACAGCCCCATCCCTATTTTTATCGAACGTAGCTCTGGTTTGCAATTCTGCCACTGTTATTGTACCACTAGAATCTGAATCCAGAATCTTAAAATAATCTTCCGCTTCGGAGACATTTAATTCCTCTTCCTCCTCGCCAGGCCTCTCCTCTGTTGCCGGTTGTTGTTCCGGCTCGACGGGTTTGTACTTTTCCAATGCCAAGCTCTCCCGTTCCTCTGCCTGTGTCTTTAAAATCTCCTTCTCCTTCTTCATTAATTCTGTTTCCGCATAATCCGCTCTTAGTTTCACCAAACGCGATTGATGCTCCGCCTTGATTGTTTTGCCTCTTGTCACTAACTCCAAGCGCAGCTTGTTACCATCTCGCGCCAACTGCTCCGCCTTCTGTTGCTCCAATCGGGCTTCCCGGCCCAATTCGTTGCAATTGTTTACACAGCGCGCCCTGGAAGCATATTCGTCGCTCGTGTCGCAGCAGTCGCACACGCCGTCATTGACCCATGACGACGGTATATAGGCCGGCTTGTGTCCGGCATTCTCGCAGTAGAACGAGCCGTTGGCACAGGCCGCCGTCCCGGGCTCATCGCTGCTGTCCCCGCAGTCGCAATAATCGTCGTTGACCCACGTGAACGGTATTAACCGGCTACCATCCAGGCACTCGAAGTCTCGATCCGGGCGATACAACGAGTTCTTTGCCACCGGTATACCGCGAATCTGTAACACCCCTGAGCCGGCTACGTGGCCCGGCGTGGCCAGGAGGAGGAGGAGGAGGAGGAGGCTCGCTGACATCGCGAGCACCAAACGCGATGCCTGATGATGATTACCCATCCTCTAGCCTACGAGGAGGTTTCTCCAAGTCACGTCACTCACTCACGTTGCTCACTCGAACGAATTACAGGAGCGAGGTTTCTTTTTTTTTTGAGGTTCGAATATGCGAATGTGACACGACACACCGCACGTTTGTCCTCGTCCTTCGATTGCGCGTGAGATAACACAATTAGTGTTACCAACTGTCTAGAAATAGTGATGTCCGATTGTCCGACAGAGATATTTTTCCATAGACATATAAAATATATAGATGGAGCATTAGCTGCCGATAGGTCATCAAGTATGATTGGACAAGCTGGAAAATTCCCCTATATTTCGGACAATACAATTTGTATTATGCTATAAGATGGCGTTTAGATCACGTTGTTGACGAAATGGAAATGATCTGTATCGGCGGGCCTAGTAAATTATCAGTTTGTGCCTTTGACGGCTAACCATCAATTGGCTCCGTATTCAAAACACACAGTCGGTATTAAAAAAAATCAGTTAATGTTTAAATAAATTGCCAAGTGATTATTAATCACGTGACTATACTTGTAAAAAATTTCCGCGACAAATTCGCGGTGGAGCACTTGCGTGGACCGATCCAAACTATCGACACATGATCCATCGTTTTTACGTGCGATCCGTCATTGCTTAATTTTTCGTCATTCACAATCTTTCCTCGATCGTCTCAAATTTCTGCAAATCCGCACGATTTTTCCGTCTTGAGAAACTCGAGATTATGCTATCTCTTCAATCTCACAATCAGGTTTGTTTTTCACTCTCGATTTCCTACAATTGCATCAGTTTGATAATGTCTTTGTATGCCCTTTGTATATTATGCAGATATTATTTAATTGTCCTTGAGCAATGTACACATATATTTTTTAGTCTCTGTTAAATAATTAGATAAATGTATTTATATCCTTAATCTGTTTTATGACTCATGAAAGTGCTTCTTCGAGATTACAAATCGACAAGAAGTCCATTGCAATTAGGACATATTTGTTCAGATTTATCATTTTTATGATAATTAAAATAACACGATGTTGATATAATGGAGTTTTAATTATTTACTTGGAATTTTATTTGTTTTGTAAAAGAGCAAAGTGATTAAAAAACTAAGAATTTAGTAAGAATAAGAGAGGAGGAGAAGGAGAAGGATTTTGTTTTTCTTTTAAGTTGAAACGTATGATGTAGACATTCTCTCTTCCTCTAATGATTTAATGTGTCTATATTTTTATCTTATTCTTAGGTTTTATACCATTTAACGCAGTTATCATTGGCAGTGACTCCTAGAACAACTTTATATTCAGTCCAAGCTAAGAAACAGGATGAATCCCTACAAAAGAATACAGAGGAGATGGCAATTTGCCAGAACAGTCTTGAAGAGGTATTCTTATAGCATCTATTTTGTTTTAAGTATAGCCAAAACATATATTAAGAATTAATAATATGAGAGATTCAAGTGAGAGATACAAGTGGAACTTTTGACTTGTTTTAGGCGGCAAAAAATTGTACTGAGCTACTGGAAATGAATTTAAATGCTTTAAGTGCATTAACAATGAAGAACAATAAGGTGTATGTAATGTTAGATGATCTAGCTATCAGTGTATTTAGGAGATCGTTGGAAGAGAATAATAAGTGGAAAGTGTCTTATTTATCTGGCCTAAGTTTTGCCGACAACAAACGGGGCTTCCCATACTCCTCAATTACAGAGCCCATTATTCTACCTGTCATACATCTAGCATCAAAACAGCATTGTAGACTGTTACACACATGGTATGCCAAAGCGCTACAAAATCATATACCAATTCGTACGTTCAAGTCTCAGCGTAGTATAAAATTGGAACTTGAGCAAAATCCAACATTCATGAGCAGAATAAAAAAATGGCTTGGCCTCTCTTCTAATCTTCATGTGGTACGATATATTTTGCTTAAATAATCTGATCTAATGACTGATAATGCTTTAATTTATCAAAATGTGATTACAAAAGCACAGAGTAATATAAACCATCTTATTTGCTATATTTTCTAATCTTTCTTTTACTGTTATAGAGCTCGGTACATGAACCAAGAAGTTCGGACTTTGAAAAAATAAAACAGATCTTCAACAATACTGATGTAACAGCAGACGAGCAGAAGAGAATAAAAATGGCTTTTGTAGAAGGATATGAATCTGGATTGCAACGGCAGATGCGAGGACGAACAATGTTATTCAAAATCGTGCTAAATATGATAGCTGTTTCTGTGTTCCTAGTTATCCTCATAATTTGGCTTTATCGTATGTATAGAAATCGACTACTTTTCAAAGTTTCTCTTTTTATTGACTATGTTTCATACATTATGTAGTTAGTTATCCAGGAGGAGGAATATTCAAGCTTCCTATGAGCCATAGAATTGAAATCGATCCCGAGGACATCCATGTTACTTTCAATGACGTCAAAGGGGTAAGCACGAAATTCTTTCGAAAATATCTACTTCTACAATTACAATGTTAATTTAATTCAATCCAATTTTTATTTAAAACTGATTTATATAAATTCGTATTTAAATTTTTTGAATATTTGTAAAATTTACAGGTGGATGAGGCAAAGCAAGAGCTTTTGAATGTAGTGGAATTCTTGAAAAATCCCGACAAATTTTCTGCTCTTGGCGGAAAGTTGCCGAAGGGTGTCCTGTTGGTCGGTCCACCCGGGACAGGAAAGACATTATTAGCGCGCGCAGTCGCTGGAGAAGCTGGTGTACCGTTCTTCCATGTGGCAGGTCCTGAATTTGACGAAATCTTAGTTGGCCAGGGTGCTCGGCGCGTCAGAGATTTATTCCGTGAGTAAGAACCAAGTGGACCAGAATATTAATTCTACAAAGAAAAAAAGTAACATTCATTAAATTGTGGTGTTAAAATAATCGAAATCGTGTCTTTTATATGACGTTGCAGGGGCAGCGAAAGAAAAAGCACCATGTGTAGTGTTTATTGATGAGATTGATTCCGTAGGTGCAAAAAGAACAAACTCGGTTCTCCATCCTTATGCGAATCAGACAATTAATCAATTACTTTCCGAAATGGATGGGTGAGTTTATGAATTAGTTGAAATCGAATGTAGTTTCATAACATAGTTTTTGGAGTTCAGCCTTTTTAAAAAATAATACGCTATTAACGATATGTCCGAAGTATCTCCAAACTCGCAAATTTAATTTAAAACTATTTAATTAAAAAAAAATATTTGATCCCTTTTTTAAGCTTTCGCCAAAATGAAGGTGTCATAGTTCTTGGTGCTACAAATAGACGCAAGGATCTCGACAAAGCGTTAATGCGTCCAGGCCGTTTCGATGTTGAGATTTATATTAATAAACCTGATTATTTTGGTCGTAAGGAGATATTAGACCTCTACTTATCTAGAATATTGACACATGAAGTTGATACAGTTTATCTGGCACGTTGTACTACTGGATTCACCGGAGCTGATCTTGAAAACATGGTAAGAAATATCGTTTCATAGTAATATATGGATTTGTTACTATAAAGGATTTGCAATCAATTTTTATAATGTAATCTAAAAATATTAAGAAAAAATTGTGCAAAATATTATGCAGATAAATCAAGCTGCACTACGCGCAGCGATTGATGAGGCGGATTGCGTCACCATGAAACATTTGGAGTATGCTAGGGACAAAGTATTGATGGGTCCTGAAGGCAAGTTAAAGTTACGTGATGAGGAAGTCAATCGTATTACAGCATATCATGAAGCTGGACATGCTCTAGTAGCATTTTACACAAAAGATGCCACACCACTTCATAAAGTTACTATTGTCCCACGAGGACCATCGTTAGGTCATGTATGTAATTAATTACCTTGTCAATTATTATAATTATTTTTATTTTTATTATTACTTATTAGTCTACAGAAATCTCTTTTCAGTGTTGTCAATAATGGTTGAAATTATTCATAATCTTATGTACATAATAAGTTTAGATTTTTTTATATTAAGTTGTATTTTCAATTCTATAACTTTTAACTTACAAACTACATATTTTCAGACTTCTTATATGCATGAGAAGGATGTTTATCATGTTACAAAGTCACAATTGTTAGCTAATATGGATTCCATGATGGGTGGTAGAGCTGCAGAGGAGTTGACATTTGGTCCAGAAAAAGTGACGACTGGAGCTTCTTCCGATTTAGTGGTACAATTATATCCTTAATTCTTAAAAATTTCGTAGAAATTTTTATTTATTTTTGTTTAAAGAAATAGAAATTTTCCCCCTTCCTCCCAAGGAATATTATAAATTAAGCTAAAAACACAGAGACATGTAGATCTAAACCTTTTCTTTTGCAGGAGGCGACAAAGATAGCAGAGATGATGGTAAAAAATTATGGAATGTCAGAAAAAGTGGGATTTAGGTCAATAATAGAGAATAAGAAGCTTTTTGGTAATAACAATACATATGCTCCAAGCACGAATGAGCTCATTGACAATGAAGTAAAGCGGATTTTACAGGTAAATTTAATTTTGTATTAAATATAAAAATTTGATTACAATTCATTTTTCAATTTATATAAAAAAATTTTTTTTTAATATGATGAATCTCTCATTTATTAATTACTTTATTAAGACAATAAGAGAAAATTATAGGTGTTATATAATTCTTCCTATTTATAACTTACTCTAATTTGTAGTTCACATCTTCTTACAGGAATCATATGAACGTGCAAAATCAATTTTGAAAACGCATGCAAAGGAACATAAACAGCTAGCAGAAGCGTTATTACAGTATGAGACATTGGATGCGGATGATGTGGCTGCCATTGTCAATGGTGATTAATTTATAAAGAGATATAAAATTTGTGATATAACTGAAAATAAAATGGTTTCCCGTATAAAAGTTTTCGAGAGATATTTTAACAAATGTTAATATATTAGTATACAGTAACCATTTGATATTACATCTTATTGTTTCAGAAACAGGACTCAGTAAACGAGAATCATCTGCAGATCCAAAGAGATCGACAAAAGGATCTTAATCTAAACGCGGTTGTCTGAGAGTGTTTGCCGAGAAGGTAGGAATCAAGCATAATTATATAAAATTTGCGCGGACATACAATTTGGATAATGATCGTTGTATTTTATACGAACTTATAATTCATGAGAGACTTAAAATACACTCGAAATATAAATCGTGAGTTTTTTTTTAAATTTTATTTTGAATTACCATTTTTAATCGAAATACAAATTTAATAAAAATATAAATTATCGCACTCAAATGTCTATTTAAATGTTTAAAATACTTTAAATGTATATATACATCACAAAAATAGATGCTGTTCCTATTATTATATTAACAGCACTTATTTCCGTTCATTTTTTTTGTTATTTAAAATTTTAGAAGATGTTATATATGTCCTTCCCATAAGCTTATATAAAATTTAATCATTATTCTATATTTGACAAATTATAATAAAAAGAGATTATCATTGTTTATGCATCATATCTTTATTCTAAATCGATAAATATTTGTTTTTAATGCAGCAGCATCTATTTTTGAACGGAATGTTTATTGTTGGTTAAATGCCAACTTCGGTCAATTATCAAATTCCGCGAAAAAACGCTGACAATTCATCTCAAACTTTAAATAGAAATGCGTCTTTAAATAGAAGAGATAAAAATTCTGCACTCGTTGGAAATTTTAACGAAAAAAAAACAGCTGCTAAAAAAATGTATTTGATCAGAAGAATTGCGTTTTCCGGAAAATTCATCTTTTGCTCGCAATTTCTTGATTTTTTTTCTGCAATGGTCTACATTCGTTTATTTAAAGCAATAGCTGAATTTTTTTCTCAAATAAAATGAAAATCATCAAAATATCGTTAAATTAATTATTGGCTATTTTGTCTTCCCTTCCCTGCTTGGGAAACTGCAATTGAAAAATGACAAAATGTCCAGCGAATATAAAAATATACCGGAAACGTAACAAATTTTGATGTATCATTAAATAGACATTATAAATATAAATTGTACTGAATTATGTATATACATATACACATAAATATTTATATACATATGTCTCAATATTTGTGTGTTATTTTAATCCTTGTTGTCTCTCTAATACCGATAAGAAGTAACGTTTCTTTTGTGTAGATAATTTGAATTTATTTAATAATCGAATATATATGGAACATGTATATGTATCACACATGTGAAAAAAAACATTCAGCAGAAGTTCCAAATTATTGGTAGTCTAGCATTGTTTTTTACTGAATGCGCAACTAGTATGATCTGGAAACGTTTCTGTAACTATGAAATTGTTTTTTGTTATATTGATAAATATGCGCGAGATATATTACCATTTTTGTATATAAATATCCCGCTGTAACATTCGATCGGTTCGGCGATTTTAATGAAGTGATTTCTGCAATACTTCATGTTACTATATATTTATTTTACGGACGATATAAAGCGCACGGTAATCACGCATCGGGAGTGCGAAATGGAATGCCAAACGATCGTTGCAGTACCTCAATTAAGGTAACGTAATGGTTATGATATATTTGTATATGTGTACACGCGCGTGTGTTTGCTTACTATGGTTGGTTTTACGCATGGCGCGGAAATGCATATGTTACAATGTTTGCATTATGCTGCGACTAATTGGATTTTTCTGTGCATAGTAAACGTGTATTGGATATATCGCGAATGAATGAATCATGAGTTAAAATGACAAGTAATTATTTATCTTAACGCGCGATCTTTTCCCAATTATATTCATATGAATGAGTGACACAATTAAACGAAAGATTGTTCAAGTGTGACACGCACATGCTTGATCGATTTTGTATGTATACTTGATATCGTGACATATAATCGTGATATATATATA